GGGCGGGGGGGGGGGGGCTAGGCCTACTTGGGTTGGCCTATAGTACTAGGCTAGGCGGCCTCTAGTCTGTGACATTGTGATATATATTCCCTCACTCAGGCTTTATTTTACATTCATCTACCTACCACGAAGAGGACTCTCTTCTTGCATTACAGACATCACACTAGCAGAAGTAGGGTCTTTTATTACTAGGCCTGGCTAGGCCGGCCTAGGGGCCTACACTAGGGCCTACTACTTTGCCTAGGCCTAGGCCCTAGCTGGGCCTAGTGCTAGCCTAGGCCTAGCCCTAGGCTAGGCTTAGTTCTTAGGTAAGCCCTAGGCCTGGGGCAGTGATGACAAAGTTGATTTCAAACATCCACTTACTGCTCTGAAAAATTTCAGTGACAATCATTGCCTAAAGAACTGTAGTTTCATAGACAAAACAGTACCAAAGTTGTTGTTTGCTGCCCTCACCAGCATTCCTCCTCACCCGCCGCGTACTGCGTTACATTTTGTTTTCGTAGGACGATAAAGCAAAATCTCAAAAAATTATTCATAATCATATTAAGCCGGCGAATTTATTCGCACGAATCGAAAGCCTCGGTTCACTTCCTGAGCTCTCATTGCTTGGACATTTTTCTATTAGAGATATTTAAAGCTAAGGTATCTCTGTTTAAAACTAAGATAGGCTAGGCCATTCAACAGAAAAACCTAAGATATCTCTATTAACAGAGATATCTCTATTAATAGAGATATATAGGTTTTAAATAAAAATATCTTACTTAAATTTAAATAGAGATATCTTAGTTTTAAATAGAGATCTTAGTTTTAAATAGCGGTGTCTCTATTTTAAATAAAAGATGGTCAATGGTCATATATTTTGCGCCTTCCACAGGGAAAAAAAACAGAGATATCTCTATTAATAGAGGTATATAGGTTTTAAATAAAAATATCTTACTTAAATTTAAATAGAGATATCTTAGCTTTAAATAGAGATCTTAGTTTTAAATAGCGGTATCTCTATTTTAAATAAAAGATGGTCAATGGTCATATATTTTGCGCCTTCCACAGGGAAAAAAACAGAGATATCTCTATTAATAGAGGTATATAGGTTTTAAATAAAAATATCTTACTTAAATTTAAATAGAGATATCTTAGCTTTAAATAGAGATCTTAGTTTTAAATAGCGGTATCTCTATTTTAAATAAAAGATGGTCAATGGTCATATATTTTGCGCCTTCCACAGGAAAAAAAAAACGTCTCAAGGCGCTTTAAACAGATATATATATCTTTATTTAAAAGGCTAAATCTCTATTTAAAACTAAGATTTCTATCTAAACCTCAGATCTCTATTAATAGAGATATTTCTGTTAATAGAGATACCTTAGTTTTGTTTCCTGTCACAATGATAGGAATTGATTCCAGTGAGCTAGGTTTCTGGGCAGAGCTGTATTGCTGTCTCTTATACACATCTAGATGTGTATAAGAGACAGGATGTAATGTTATTATTATGGTTATTGTCACTGTCATTATTATTATTATTATTATTATTATTATTATTATTATTATTATTATTATTATTATTACTATCATCTAATTTTTGTTATTATTTTTTTTATTTTACTGGTACTACTACGTTTATAATTATTATTGTTGTTGTTGTTGCGCAAAAAAGCACCTACCAAAAATTGAAATTGAGCGATCAATACTCTTAAAATCAAATCTTAAAATATTTTTTTACATATTTTAATCATTTTTTTCTCATGTTTTTCTAATCTTTCCCTTTTAGTTTCATTTTAATTCCCTCTGATTTTTTTTCTTTTTATGTCGTCTTTTCAACGTCTAATTTCTTTTATTCCTTATTTTTTATATCATCATTCCAAATCTTATCTTCATTTCCTTTTTATCAATATTGTCAATGTTTAATGATAAAAGTTACAAACGATAAAACTGTTTTGGACTTCAAACTTGTTCTTTATCGCAGTATTCCTCTTGGTCATTGGTTTAGTGTGCAAACTTGCATTAATTATGATTACTACAGTAACACTTTCACAAACATGAAAGGTGACTGATACCCAGCTGGATACCTCAATCACGCTCAGCTAGCACTACAATCAATCATTTATTCGAACATACACCTTTAGATCGGTGGCACTCAAAATCATTTGGTGCGTTCGAAGTGAATTAAAATTCTTAGCTACAAGTACAAAATTTTTTTTTTTTTAAATTACGAAACAAAACAAGGGAATCTTAAGTAAAAATGAAATAAACACAAGTGAGTAGTGCTGCTGATGAAGCAAGTAGCTCCCCGAAAAACATGACAAGGAAATACAACCTGTCTTGCCTGTCACAAATTTCGAAGGGCCACCTGTACCATCAACAAACTCAACAATAATGTTAAGGCAATCAAAATTTATTAGTTACAAAAAAATAAAAAATAAATAAATAAATAAAAAGGAAAAGACAGTAATACTTCAATTCAGATCTTTTTCTTCACGCTCGTTTTCCATAACTTTTACAAAATTCATCAAAGTATTTCTCTACTTCATTTGTCATGGAAAGAGTAGTGGAGCCTAGGACGTAGCTTAATGTAATATCAATATTAGCACTTAAAAATTGATCCCAAACATCGATGTTATGACTACTTAATTTATATTCAAGTTTATTTAACTCCTCTAAACGTATGTTTAGGAGATCGGGACAAGAGAGTAAGAAGTGTCTTATGTCTTCTTCATTATTTGTATTGCAAAGAGTACATAAGCCATTCTTGTCTTCAGACCATCTAGAAACTCTACTATCAAGGGGCAATGTATTGGAGCGAAGTTTAAATTTCAATGATACACCTTCGAAATCCAATTTATCTAATAGATAATTTTCTAATTTAATTGTATTTTAAGTAATGAATAGTCGGTGAGGGAGGCCTTACTTTCAATATCCTCTCTCCAGTTTTCATTGTTTATTTCATTTACTTTTTTAAATAATGGATTAACCCAGTAATTGTAGTTGCCCTGATTATTAGATGTACTAGAAGGTCTTCAGATTCACATTTAATAAAGAGAACAGAAAAACATTTTACAAATTTGAAACGGAAGTTATTTGGATCACATTGAAACTGATTTGTTGCATTTAGAAGTATTAGATACGGTTCCATCCTAATTAAACGATTAAAGAATTTAACTCTTGAAGTGTCATGCATAGTTTTTATCTGTATCCATCCAAGTTCCCCATATAATGTAGATCGGGGCGTATTCATGGGGGTTTTAAGATATATCGTGCCATTTGTAATTGAAGATTTTCTAATCTATCAATGTCTGATTTATTTACGCTACACCAACCATCAGATCCATAATTAATTGAAGGGAGGGCAATTGTCCTCCATAGTACATCCCCGTAATAAACCCTATTAAAATTATCGAAATTATCTATAAGCGATTTAATGTAGGCAACTAACCTATTGCCTTTCTTTAAAACATTTTCAAATTGCTTACGATCGTTTAAATTTCTGGAAATAATTACCCCAAGATATTTATATGATTCGGCCTCCATTATGTAGCTATCTCCTAGTTTCCAGTGTTTATCCCTGTTTATACGTTTACCAATTACTAATATATTTGATTTGTCAAAATTAAAATTAAGTTTCCACTCTTTTGCAAAGATAGTAGCTAGCTCAAGCATCTTTTTCATTTCAGTTTCGTTATTAGCAAGCAACACAATATCGTCCGCCCAAAATAAACCACCTAACCATTCATCGTTAATCCTTATTCCAATATCATGAGAAACAAGCAAATTCTTAAACTCATTAATAAATATGTTAAATAAAACGGGTGATAGTACACACCCTTGTTTAACTCCTTGGTTAATTTCGAAGGGATCAGTTTCAATTTCACCAAAGTTTACGGTGCCTATTACTTCATTATATAACCTGTCTATCAGTCTCCAAGCTTTACCTCTAATGCCTGACAACCAAACAGATTTTAATAATCCGTCTCTCCAAACACTGTCAAAGGCCTTCCGAAAATCTAAAAAAGCAATGTGAGTTGTTTTATTTTTTTTCAAACGACAGGCAGCTACACTTTTTAATGTAAATATATGGTCTACTACTACTACTACTACTACTACTTATCCCCTCCTGTGTCGTAAAATATTACGTTACTTGATTTACAAGATTTTGGATGGTCTTAACAAATCTGTGAGAGACCTCATACGCATGTACGCAGTGGACATAGTGAGAAACCTAGTGTCCAAAAAAACAGGTTTGCGAGATAGGCTTGCCCAAAGCAATGTTATTGCATTTTCCGGATATTTTTGGTATGCTGAATCCAAAAATGCAAAGGTCCATTTTTTCCGAGATTGTCTTGGCGGCCATTTTGGAATTTCAAAATGGCCGCCATTTATACAGTAAAAGTAACCA